GCTGAGACTCTAGAAAGAGTACAGAGAAGAGCAACAAAGATGATTAGGGGACTGGAGGCTAAAACATATAAGGAACGGCTGCTGGAATTGGGTATGTCTAGTTTAATGAAGAGAAGGACGAGGGGGGACATGATAGCAGTGTTCCAATATCTCAGGGGCTGCCACAAAGAAGAGGGAGTCAAGCTATTCTCCAAGGCGCCTGAAGGCAGGACAAGAAGCAACGGATGGAAACTGATCAAGGAGAGAAGCAACCTAGAACTAAGGAGAAACTTCCTGACAGTTAGAACAATTAACCAATAGAACAACCTGCCTCCAGAAGCGATGAATGCTCCAATACTGAAAGTTTTTAAGAAGAGACTGGACAGCCATTTGTCTGAAATGGTATAGTGTTTCCTGCCTGAGCAGGGGGTTGGACTCGATGACCTCCAAGGACTCGATGACCTCCAAGGTCCTTCCAACTTTTTTATTATTATTATTATTATTATTATTATTATTATTATTATTATTATTATTATTATTATTATTATTATTATTATTATTATTATTATTATCAGTATGCTGATGATACTCAGCTGTACATATCCACCCCGGGCCACCCCAACGATGCCCTTGACGTGATGACCCGGTGCCTGGAGGCCGTGAGGGTCTGGATGGGGAGGAACAGACTCAGGCTCAACCCTTCCAAGACCGAGTGGCTGTGGCTACCGGCGCCTCGGCATAGTCAGCTGATTCCATCGCTGACTATAGGGGGCGAAACCCTGGCCCCCTTGGATAGGGTGCGCAATCTGGGTGTCCTCCTGGATTCACGGCTGACACTGGATGATCAGTTGGCGGCCGTGACCAGGGGGGCGTTTTATCAGGTCCGCCTGATTCACCAGTTGCGGCCTTTTCTGGACCGGGACGACTTGCGCACAGTCACTCATGCTCCGGTCACCTCCCGCCTGGACTACTGTAATGCTCTCTACATGGGGCTTCCCTTGAGGAGCACCCGGAGGCTCCAGCTAGTCCAAAATGCGGCCGCGCGGGCGGTGTTGGGAGGGACTTGTCGCTCCCACGTAACACCGCTGCTGCGCGAGCTGCATTGGCTGCCGGTGGCCTTCCGGGTGCGCTTCAAGGTGCTGACCATCATCTTTAAGGCGCTCCATGGCAGCGGACCGGGATACCTTCGAGACCGCCTTCTGCCACAGATTACCTCCCATCGGCCTGTACGCTCCCACAGGGTGGGTCTCCTCAGGGTGCCGTC